AACGAGCAACGATTGGTATGCCCGGCCGAGACTGGAGAATAGCTACGGTACCAGTAGTCTCACCTGGAAGTCTCTCGGAGACGTCGTGCATGCAGGTGTCCTCCGCCACCTTGCGCCATTGCAGGCCTTTCGTTACGTCTAGCGCACCTGCTCAGCTTACACACAGACTTCAAAATCCTCGACCATGGTTGTCATCATTGCAACATGGATCACAACTCATTACATGTACCACTGCATAGTAAGCGACGTGGCCCGCCCACTTTCTGATGGCATCAACACAAGACGCGCAGTTCCACCCTCTTCGCAAAGATCATCTGAACACGCCATCTTGGCCAGAATGCATACGTACGAAAAGGCGTAGCATCGTCATGGTCGATATACCAATAACCTGTAGGATACTGAAGATGTCTAGATGAGCAGTCACGTGATATCTATTTGACGGGTTCCACAGAACTAGAAGTACATGGACAGCTACAAACTACCCTCTCCGCAGCATACCTGCATTTCAGTCACTCAGTTGATGTTTATCAGTTTGATCACTACGGTTGGATAACAGGTATGAAAGAGGCTATTGTCTGACCGTGTATGTAATGATAGTATGGTGTAGATGTATGGTACTCACAGCATCCCTTTGCTTTCTTCAACTGGTGTGCTGCCTCGGCCTCTTCGGTCAACTATTGAAAGCTTTGGGCTGCTGTGTGGTAACGCATGGTCCCATTTATTTTATTTTTTACAAAAAACACACACACCATTTGACGGCACAAAGCAGCAAGGCAGCGATGGGACATATAGAATGGCAGGAGTGGGGGAGAGGCAGGGCCATGGAGCAACTATTCCTGTTGTGCCTCCGCCGTACTCAGTCCGAGGCCGGACATGGCTGTGATCAGTGTAGCGCAGAGAGTGAGAGACAAGCCCGGCGGGTGCTCAGTCTGACACAAAGTACATGACGATGTACATGTAGTACAAATGATTGAGATGAGCTACGACATGATTTTCCACATATTTAAAAGCAGGGGGTAGTACAATACCCTGGTATTGTACTACATTGTATTGATACCATTAGACTGTTAGATAGTGGTCCATAATACACCGGAAAAGGCCACTGCGTTCGCTGGAACACAACTCAGCTCTGAACACGGTCATGCTGCCAGCGTCCAATCAACACTCACTGAAGGTAGTACAGTCATGTAGTGGCATGTAGTGACGTTGACGGAGCCAATGGTGGTGCACAGTCGTTCCTGTGTGTGTCTCAGCGTCGGCAGACGAAAATCCGACACTGTACATGTACGTCATAGTCGTGTATCCGGGCCTCCGGGGTGCCCGACCCTTCGGCTTGGCGGATAATGCTCGAAACATTGGCAGATTCTGTTTGAAAAAAGCAGTGAAATTGGCAGAACCAGACCGGTACAAACCTTATCGCAGGTTCTTCCTTGAATTCTGCTCCATTTCTTTATCAGCATACCAAACATGCAATAACATACCAAACATGCAATAACATACCAAACATGCAATAACATACCAAACATGCAATACTCTACATACCAGTAAAAGTACCAAATTCTAATCCGCCAAAGGCTTCACCCAGTACTGGCAGTACTGATGAAGAGAAGAATCCAAAGTCAACGCACGCCATACATACTATAGGCAATTAGGTGGTGTACATGTACATTAGGATAATTAGTATGACTGTTTAAGCATGCATATACATTCCTACGCTACTCATCCTCTCCGCCATTGCCCATCATTATCCCATCAGGTGTAAATCAGCGAACGATCAGCTGAGTTTACTCTAGGTCATAGTGCTACTGTTCACTGCAGGTGCTGCTGAGTGCTGAGTGCTGCATCCACATCCATTGTAACGTTAGCCTAGGTAGGAACGCTCTCTGTTGTTTACTCATTACTGCATTAGAACCTGGCCATTTCTTTAGTGCATGGAAGGCACCACGTGGCGATATTGCATTATTGGCAATCTTGGCGAAGTGAGAATCTCTTTATCCACCTTGCGTATACTGACAGGCCCCTGTCATCCCGTGAAGTATTCAACAGTGATACTAGCTTGCATGGCGATCATTTAATAATCAATTATGGGTGATAGGATATTGCGATAGAGTGCAGGGTGTAGATCCTAAGCTGGTGTCATCTGCCAACCTCTTTAAACCGTATCCCGATTTAGAAACACTTTCGGGATAATGACTGAGCGACAGTCAGCTGGCAGGGCCAAGACGATGATCTAGATTATGCCCGTTTTCCCTTCTGCCTAAGTTCTGGCTTATTTGTGTGTATGTGTGTCACGTGCATGCTCGCGACAATAGTGGGGATGCCAGCCACAGTCCTGGGGGTTATCACATGGACCCTTGATGCCATGCTATTGACCCTGCGCCTGTGTTATCGCAGTGCCAACTGTCAAGGATACACGAGACTGAGATCAGCTGGTTCCCAAATCCCAATACAATGCAGTCCATGATTCCCAGCAGTACATGTTAAGATGTACTGAAGTAGATTGAGTAACACATACATGTGTGCAATTGCATAGGAAGTGATGTAGAGCAGAGCTCTGTATGCAATCGTAGTACATGTACAAAAATGTTCATGCAAGCACAATACATTAGCCTACGTGGACACGCTGATAGCTAGCAGGGCATTGCAGACCCTTGCCAGCCAGCATGGTGCATTGGGCACATGCACTCCCACTCCGGGGAACCCGATATGGAGTGTCTGTGGAATTACTGGTCTCAATACAAACACAATCTACAAACTACACGTACAATACACGGTGCTCGATCCCAGGCAGTGTTAAACGGGTGGCCAAATCCCCAGAGAAGGTTTATGGCACTTCTTCTCAAGTCGAACGTTTGACACACCTGCAACGATGGTAATGTGCCTTCCAATGGACCGTCGTACTGTCGGATCTGCTCCACTGGCTTGAACTCAGGGACCGAGGAAAATGTCTTAAGGAAACATGTAAGCGTACTGCATGTCACAAACCACCGCAACATACTATAACCGATGTACAGACGTTCTTCAGTACAATCTAGTACCGATAACCCAGGCACGACTGCAGTAGAACGAAGGTTAACTTTGTTTCTCTGGCGTTTCATAGCTAATAGGCCGATTATCAGCCAACAAGTTGTCTGCTGATTTGGCTCTGCCCTCGCTGCATCGAGCACTTTTGCAAGTACTATTTTTTTTAGCAACTTTAGCCAGTAGGCTGTTACAAGATGTAAACATGTACTAGTACTGAGTGTGGTACTACATGACAAGCAAACAGAAGTTCAGCACCCGTATACCAGTATCCTGCATTGCAAGTTTGCAACTACAACAAAGTTAGGGTAGAGAACGTACGCAATGCTACACGAATCATTGGTTGGTAACAGTTTACATAACGTCGAACTCTGCATGTACATGCGGTACATGTATGAACTGAGAGTATTAGTTAGTAAGTTATTAGTTGCATGCACTTGATACGTAGCAACAACAGCATGCACGTACAATGTACATGGCTGGAAACATCAACACACGCACAGGACACCTCATTCCAGTGCCACGGAGGCTTATCCACGGAATACGTATTGGTCCGACAGGTCTACCATAACCTATGCTGCACTATCAGGAAAACCATGTCAAGCTAGTAATGTTGTTCACACAAACAACAGCAACAGTAGAAACATCATCATCATCATCAACAACAACACGAACGGTTAAACACAACAACAGTACACTTGCGTGAACAATGCGGTGGTGTTAAGGGTTTGTTGTTGTTCGAGGTGTAAGCCCCAGGCCAGCTAGGGGGTAGACAAATACCGGATAACACATTGGTGGTAAGTTGCTTCGACACTGGAAAACAAATCACCTGCTGTAGGGCTCGGCGGGTGTGAACTTGACCAGGTGACAACAGTAGCTGCTGCTGCCGGTTAGTGGCTGGCAGAATTGAGAGTTCGTACAGCTCTGGCACGACGAAGCCAACGGGTAGCTTTGGTGCGCGGTTGGTGATCAGATAGTGCGGCTCAGATGTCACCGCTAGCGTTATCATGTCCAGCGCTGCACTAATGTTCGCGGTGGTATTGTTTTGCTAGCGATGCGACTTACACGAAGTGATCTTGTCACTGGGGATAATGAGACGAAGCATAATTCGATGTAAGTTGACTGATTAGGATCGGTATTCGCACCAAAATTAGTATCAAACTGTTTCCTACAAATGAGCTGTTGCTATTTCTGGCCTGGTTGGCGATAGCTTTGGAGGCCATCTTCCCACGGATTTCGACTGGCACGGCGGGATACAAGACTTGTCACTAGCACAATGCCCACGTTTTCGCAGACATGCTCCTGCCATGAGACGGAATTGGCGCTCATACCCTCAAGCCTCTCTAGTGCCCACTTCGGACACCCCGTTTAGGATCTCCCGGTCGAAATTCTCGATCGGCAAAACGCTGCAAGTTTCACTCCAAATACGGAGACGTTTGTGTCTTTTTGCGCAGGAAAAGTCGCGGAGGGATCGGGCGATAACCGGCAAGTGGTATCCACCTCAAGAGGATCATTAGCCCCTCGAGTGGCCTGGCAAAAGCGTGGGACAGGAGTTGCTTGAAACTGCAGTTCCCGAAATAGCAACAGGCAAAATGCGGGGGACGTGGCTGACATTGTCTGACAAGCGTGTGCCACTTCGGAGCCACTTTGTCCGGGACGAAATTGAACCCCATGCGCTCGGCATCCTGGGTCGCCTGCTGCTGCTGCCCATTTCCAGTCTCGTGCCTGCTCGCCGCTTATGTTGTTGTGTCACTTGGGAAGCATAGTCCAGTGTGTGCAGAATTGTTGTGTGCTGAGTACAAGTACAAGTATGCATGTGGCACACCAAGCAAGCTTGGAGTGCCATGGATAAGTGGCTACAGAGGAGAGTGAGAGGGCACCGCGTGCTGCTATGCAAGTGTCATGTGTAGACGATGTTGAACGCTCTGGTCGAAGAGGTCGGTTTTGCCTATAAGACAAAACCCAACAACAAACTACTATGTCATTTAGTCCGCCGTTGCGCTGTCAGACGTTTTGTCCACTTCCTCCCGGATATTTTGCTAACTGAGCGTAAGACAAGGTAGTGGTGTTCACGTCTTGGAAGATTGAGCCGCTCTAGATCAGAACCAGCACTGCAGTCACTATCATGCAGTCGGTAACAGGTACGCCCATACAAGTGCATCCGACGGCCATGCAGTTCAACTTTGCAATGAGCCCCACGGTAGCCGCCGCGCCTGGACCGGTAAGCGACTACTCTGTTTTATCCTGTAGCTTCCGTTTCTCAATTGATGACCAAATATAATCAATACCATGCCGAGTTCGGACGCAAAGTTCCGCTTTCGAAGTCGTGTATGTCAGTCATTGTAGGCATCACCCCTGTTCGTACTACATGGTTTGTTTACTCCGAACTACCCCATGTGACACCACTGTTTGCGGACACACTGGGCGTATAGTTACTGGTCGCAGGTACTGGGTACAATGTATGTCTGGCGTGGGACGAGCTTCACACCTTTCCGTATGATTCGATCAAATGGAAAGTCGGATTGCACGAGATTCATGGATACTAAACTTCCCCCTAGCAATATTCTCCACGTGGCGCCACCACCGCCACCACCCTTGTTCAGACTTGTGTTTATGAAACTGGACTTCCCCGCCATTTGGGTTTGATTTCATCTTGGCCGATTCTCATGCAGGCAGGCCCCAGCTTTGCCATACCCAAGATTAGACTGCATGGTAGTACTACTACAGTACGTGTATTATCTTTTGAGCTCGGTTAAAGCTTACCCTGGCGATTTCTCACTTTGCTGCTTTCAAACCAAAGTCGGTTGGGTACCTTTAAAATGCATGGCTGTGAGATATGGGACATGGATGCCAGCCGTGCCTTGCATGACTTGATGAACATGCCACAAACACTAGCATTGGAAGTATGGTGGCAGAACTATCATACTAAACATAGATGTATCATCATTATCCATCATGCTCATTGTGTCCGTAAGTAGCTGGTCATGTATCGGTCATGTAAATACCCAGTAGCAACTTAGCTAGCAACAAGGAAAGATCTTAGAGGCTGCAATCCTCGCACACCAATCTTCAAGTGCCAGCCCGTGTTCCAATTTGGAACCACTTCGCTCCAATCCTCTTCTGCTGACTCTCTCTCTCCGTGTAGTTGGTATATGTTAGTGACCTGGTTGAGTGCTGTGCACTTGAGGACATTTCAGGTTCCGGAAAGTGACCGTGCCGTTTTAGTGTTTTCCAGGCCTGCTGAATCACGACTCGGAGGGCTGCGCGAGTTGGACTTGAAGTGCTTCCCGATTTGACTTTTCCCGATTCGTGTTTCAGCCGAGTTTAGTCCGCATGCCAGTTTAGTCCGCAGAGAGGCGGATGATGCATGCAAATGCGTGGGTTGCCATCAGAAATATCCACCCACGCCGCGAGAGAGCCCTCTCAGCAGGATATTTCGATCAGGGTGAGTGGATATTTCGATCAGAGCGAGTGGATATTTCGATCACGGGCAATGTTCTAAGTATGGATTCGGATCTGGGTCTAAGTGAGGAGATTTTGACGCGGCAGTCAGTAGTGAAGGCTGAAGTACTCTTCCGATCCGAAGCTAGGATCCGTGCGTGCCAGCAGGTCAGACAAAGCCAGCAGGCGCACATTCCGAACCGTTCCGGCGATAGTCCGTTGCACTGCAACAACCGCGGATCTTGTCCTCCGCGCACCTGATCCTCTTGACTCTCCGAAACCCCTTCCAGCTCGCTCAGCCGCTGAACACTTTTAGATGACCATCGTACCGAGCTCTCCGACCGAGCTCCGTGCCTTGCGCGAAGAAAAGCCTTACTAGCTCCCCGAGCCTCTTACCTTACGCGAGGAAGAACGCCGCTATTTCGATCGCGGCTAGAGGCGATCTCAGTTCTCGAGCAACTGAGATAAAACGGGAGCGATCTTCTCACCACGGTCAGTTGCAGAGAGATCTCCTACTGGTCGTATCTGTTTGTTCAGCGAGTCTGCTGAGACGCGGGATGGAAGTGACCCTATTCTTGGCAGAGCAGATTGCCCCTTGGCAGAGTTTCCTTCTGTGAGCTTGTCGCTTGTGCTGTGCACCTGTTCGTGAAGCGTGACGCCTGTTGATGCTTGTTGATCGGATCTCGCGCTGTAATGTTTATCACTGCTGTAGATTTACCTAGAAACAGTTATCCTACTTTTCGTAGCTAACAACGGGCTACGCGGCCCGGAGTAGTCGATGAAGCTGCTTGAAGATTCCGAGACTCGCAGCAATTAGTTCCAAACTTTATGGAAGGCGTAGTTTTCGGTTGTCTGACAGACTGTCATCGTGGCAGCTGCGAGGAGGAAAGAGGACCTGCCCTTGTGTCTCCGCATCCAGTCCAGCTGTACAGCTCATGCCTGAGTGATGACAGATCTGCTGCTGCCGTCGCTTCCGTCTTTTATAGCCGGAGAGCTGCCTGCTGCTGACGGACGTGCGGTCTGTATTGTCGACCGCGATGGACGCTGCTGCTGTCCGAATGCTTCGATCCCTGCGTTCCGGCGACGGGTTTTGTCACCACTGCAATTGCTATTATTTTTGTTGTACTGTTCTTCACGGCAGCACCGCTACTGCACGGGCCCGGGGGTATAAATTTGCGAGTGTCTTGTCTAACATTCATTGTGTTTGTTTGTTCATTGCTGTTCCTCTTTGCAGTATTCCTTCGCCACTGCGGACGGACAGAGTTTCGTAACCGCTGTACAGCCAACGGGCGCAGCGGGCACAGGCGATCTTCAACCGGTACTGCTCTCTCCGCAGACTATCTTTGCCCAACGACCAGGCGCAGCGGGGGCCACTGCTGTGCGCTACGCGTTTCCCGTGCAGGCTGCCAACCCTGCTGCTGCTGCTGCTGCTGCTGCTATGACACCGTTCAGTCCTCCAAGCGCTGGAGCTTACCCTTGCCCCGCGCCTACTGGTGCGCCAGGTTCGGCACAATCGCCATCGCCCATGACCACCATGAGGCCTGTGTTCGTCCCAACGACCAGCGCTTGTGTCACCTCACCGGTACGTACTGACAGCGACAAGTGTTGCATGCGTTCTTTTCTCCAAAATAAGAAAATAGTAATAAGTTGTAGTACCCGTGACAGTCCTTGCACATGGATGAGTAAGACACATGATTGACACAAACAAGGTGTTATAGAAGGGAGGGGGGGGGGGGGTGCACGCTTGAATGAACTTGAGATTTTTTCCCCAGGCCTCGTTGTAAGCTAAACATAAACTAACTTACGTGCTCTACGGCACCGGCCCAAGTGTCATAGTGGCATTGAATGACATCATCTCGATCTGTACGGAGTGGTAAATAGGCGCTTGAACTGCTTGCAGCTTGTGTTACGCTGTGTGCACTTTTAAAAAGCAGCACAAAACTCCTCAAACGAAATAATGAAATAAAATCTACAAAATGATGTCATGACCGGTTCCTATTCTCACCTCCAGCCTGAATATACCGGTAGAGCTGATGTCATTGTTCTTGTGTGTTTGTCTTTTGCCCCACTGCATCACATCACAGGTGCAAGTGGCCCCCGGTCAGTGGCAGTACCCCTACACTGGTGCTGAGACAGGCATCGCAGCCGCAGCCACACCAGCGGCATACAGCGTTCATGATGCTACCGCCGCCGTCGGTCATCCTGGCTTTGTGAGACCAGCAGCTGGCTTCCACCCGGCCGCCGCTCAAATGATTGCGTAAGTCACATTCCAGCATTCCATAGCCTCTGACAAACAGAGCTGGTACATGTAGCATGAACACAGAGACAGGATCGTGTCTCCGGGTGCCATGTCGTCTAACGAACAGGGCCTCTACAGGGCCTCTACAGGGCCTCTACAGGGCCTCTACAGGGCCTCTACAGGGCTTCTACAGGGCCTCTACAGGGCTTCTACAGGGCCTCTACAGGGCTTCTACAGGGCCTCTACAGGGCTTCTACAGGGCCTCTATAGGGCCTCTACAGGGCCTCTATGCGTACAGGTGCACGTAGATATTGTTTACTCTACTCTCTAGCTGCAAGTGCCTGTTGGGTGCATCTGTGTGAAGAGATGTCTTGTGTGCTAGTGTTACTCATCTACTTGATAGGCCAATTCAGATGGTAGTTGAACGCAAGCTACAATGCACTCCGAGCGTCTCGCTTCCAGCGTTTCTAATTATTTTGTTTGTTTGTCATGTGTGTGTGTGTGTCTATGTTTGTATGTAGGTGTAATCCCTACATGGGCTATGCAGATGCGCCGGGGCGGATGAAGCGTGCGCGCGACTGCACGCGGCCACTGCGCGACTGGCTGGTGGGCCACCGCCACAACCCGTACCCGCAGAAGGCCGACAAGTGCCACCTGATGTTCCTGAGCGGCCTCAGCATCAACCAGGTGTCGATGTGGTTCGCCAACGCTCGCCGTCGCATCAAGAAGGTGGGCATGAAGGCCTGGTCCAAGGGTCTGTGCGAGGACTTGCCAGGCGCTGGGCCTGGTTCCGACAACGACGCTGAGAATGATGATGCTGATGACATCACAAGTGACGACCTACTTGCCGACAGTGACTGTATCGTGGACAGCGCCAGCGACAAGTCTGAGAATTACATCACAGGCACTGCCAGCAGTGCTGGCGTCGGCCCAGCAGCAATGCATGCCATGCGCATGCACCCATACGCGGCTATGATGCACCCGCTGCACAATGGGCGTGCCGACTCGACGCCGGTGCGTAGCTTCTCGTGTTCCGACGCCGAGTACTCACAGCAGGCGATGCTCATCGGTACGGGCACGGTGAAACGCCACAGCCTGGAGACGACGGCCATAGAGTTTAGTCCAGTGGCCACACCGCAGTCTAGCTACGGCATGGCTGACAAGTGGTCCTCAAGCAGTGGCTATGCAACGTGCAATGATCTCCCCACGCAGAATTCCTCCGCCACACACTCGTCCACAGCAGATACGGAGAGCGACGTGGCAAGAGCGCCCGTCGCTACGGTGCCCGTACCACCGGCACCGCCTTCACGACCACTCCTCACGCCCGTCGGCGTGCACATCCCCAGTGTGATGATGTCATCAATGATGTCATCACCGGCCAGCACACCCCCAGGGGTGCAATGGTGCTTCAAGCAGGCAGCGGACATGCCCGGCATGCGAGTGCCACTCAAACAAATCCATGACTAGAGCAGCAGCAGCAGCAGCAACACGACAGCTGCTGTGTCATGATCCTCCGCAGTTAGTGAAATAGCCGTGAACCTTTAGTAGACAAGGGAATTATGACCCAATGACTGTTCCTTGTCACTGAAGGGTGTGAAAACATGCTCTGTGCAACACTTGCGAACCATCTCTGAATGGTGCATGACGTGTCAGAGTATCTCAATTAGCAGTGTGCAGGAGACCGCATGCCTGCGCTCCGTATTCAACTTCCGCGTTCTACATCGAAGGCATTCAATTGTCCAATTGCTCTGTAGCTGCATAACAGTTAGGCGTGCCTACCTGTCTACTTGTGTGAGTTTGTACTAGCACACGACCTGCCTGCTGTAT